AGGAACTGATTCTAGATTGAGATGTTACTAAGTAACAATGTCTCTGGTAGCAAAAGCCCATATGTGCCTAACATAGACATACTATGCAAACACTCACCAAAAATCTTGAGAGAGTATTGTCATTGCGACAGGAGAAAATACGAGAGTATGTGCTATGGTTTCCTGACATTCTCTCTGACATATGATGCTGGCTTCAAATGCTTCACTGGGATTGTAGTATTACAATTTAATATAGAATCTAAAACCCAATTTTATAGCCCTGCTATAGAACTTAATGTATGTCTTGGAATAATAGGGTTGCAATTCATTAACTTTCATCACAAGATCTATAATAGTCCAAAATACAGTGTTATACCACCCACTGCATCTTGGGAAGGAAATCTAGGAAGAAACAATTTTCTGTTAAGCAATGGTCTCCAGCACCAGTTTCAATAACAAATTATCAACGCACAAAGCATTTCTTGATTTATTAGTTATGGCTATAACGGAGGATACACATCAAGAAACTACATCAGCTCTGAAATTGCTGGTTTAATGTGTGAAATTTCTGGTTTAATGTGTGAAAGTCATAGATATTTGGATGCTCATGAAAAAATTAATGAAGTTTCATAAGACAGGCTAATTTTAAAAACAAAAAATGTTCACAAGAAACAGCAAAAATCTACATTGGAATCACCCAAATCACGATCTGAAAGAATTGAGAACATACTATTATTTTCAGAGGTCTCTCAGTAATGACAGCACAGAACAAAAAGCACATAATTGCTAATTTCAGCATGACATCTTGTACTTGCTGTGCAAACATGTGGTCCACGTGCTATTTTCTCATCCCCAGCACTAGGAAGACCCTGGTTATGAATTCAATTACTATGTTCTACCTGGCAAGAGATTACAAACTCAGTATTTTTAGTTTATAAAACTGGCAAGATTTCTGGAAAAGTGCTTTCACGTGCACACTTTAGAGTAATATCCACCTTGTTTGAAATCAAAATCGGAAAAGACTGATGGACAACATTAAATCTTCATACAGAAGTGAAAACATTGTATATAAGAAAGACACAGTTTGATTTACAAGATTTTAGTAGGATTCAGAACTTTGAGGAGGAAGCTTGGCTATATTAGCTGATGACAAGTTTGCTGATGCATTCAAGCATGATAATGTGTAGCAGTCTCTCAGGCTTTTTCCAATCATATAAGGCCTCAAAAAAAAAGGTATTCAAGGTACGTTGAAGAGGCTTACATAATTACAACGTATGAAAAGATAAGAGCGAAAAGAAATAGAACTGCCTCTACCAGGCTATTTTCCACAGCTGAGATCTCAGATTCTGTTTTCTAATGTCAACTCTCCTGTGATACTAGGTAAAACCCAAATATAATTCAAGTGAGGATTCACATTTTAACAAGGAGAGAATATCAGCTAAAATAAAACACTTAAAGATTTCCAGAAACATTTTTGCATTCTTTGTAAGATGAGACCTGTCATTCTTGGTTAGGGGTCCTGGTCTACTCAGACCAGTATGGATGCCGTCAATAGAAGACTGCCAAGGATAGTGGAGGAAGACATGATTATCCTCTGTGACATCAGTCAGAGAGGTGGGTATATTTCAGCTTCTCTTAGCCCTCTCTTAGCAAATGTATAACTATTTGTTGTTGTTAGTTGCTGTTGAGTCCATTCTGACTCATGGCGATCCCATGTGTGCAGAGTGGAACTGCAATCCATTGGGTTTTCAAGGCTGTAACCTTTGGAAGCAGATTGCCAGGCCCTTCTTCTGCGGCATCTCTGAGTGGGTTCAAACTGCCATCCTTTCAGTTAGCAGTGCTTAATCACTTGTGCCACCCAGGGACTCCATGTATAACTATACTTTTCACAAAATGTTCAGAAATCCTTTTTGAAGTTCTTGCCCATACCATTTCTTTGGAAAATCATCTGGTTTGTGAAGATGAACTTCTTTTTATTTGTTCTAAACTTATCTCATTAGAAGTTTTAAAGTGGTTTCCAGTGTTTTAACCTTTTGGAATTTGTGTTCATGTCATCCAGACAGGAAGTGATTTTAAACATTTTTATGCAGCCCATTTGACTTCTAGGTGAAAGAGTCTTAGTATTTTATCAAGGTCCTAAATCTCCATCTCTTCATCATTCTAGTCTTCTGGCTGCTAGAACTCACTATTTCTCTTCTGATCTATGGAGATTAGAATCATATCTGGGATTCCAGATATACTGGAAATACAAGGGTTGAATAAAGCTTTTTAAAGCTTTCTCTATTCTTTTGCACTTGTCAATGGCATTAAACATACTGTTGACTTTATTGACTGCCTCAGTATGCTGACCTGACATCCTTAAGGAATAAAGGCAAAGATAAAAATCCATTTCCCTAGGGCAGTGTGTGTATGCGTGTGTGTGTGTGTGTGTGTGTGTGT